AAAAAATGCCCGTATAAAATTATGTGATTATATAGAGTTTGTGATTATATAGGAGGTGACTGTATGGGAGGACAACTGTATTAATATTAAGACTAGATATAAATAGTTAATATCTATCATATATGAATTGAAAAATCATAAATTAAAAAATTATTTTTTTCAAGTAACCTAGCCTACTATGAAGATGCACAGATGTTAGTTATTTTCAAAAAAGTAGAGAAATGATTTCTATATACCTATTTAGAGAATTGAAGAATTTAAAATTCTAATTAGTAAAATTAAGAAACCAATTGAAATAGGCTTTAAAAACTAAAAATCTAAAAAATATCATAAATTTTCCATAATATAGTGATTTTAACTTTCTGAAAAATAGCTATAAGCAAACTTAAAATACTATATATTTGCTAAATCTTGATTTCTAAATCACTTTCGCTTGTAGGTATTTTAAATAAATTATACGATCAATAAGATATAAAATAATAAATTAAATATGGATATTGATATAATCAAAGGCTAGCTTAAAAAGTAATATAATTAAAGTCATACATGAAAATAAGATAATAAAAAGAAATAATAAAATTAAAATAAAAGAAATTCAAATACATAGCCTTAAAGAATTGAAGATAACCCATTGATTAAGACAAAAAGTGATAAACTCTTTTTTTTAATAAAAAAAGTATTTAAAATATTATAAATAAAGCAATTATAAATTAAAAAAAGTCATGTCAAATAATAAATTGAATATTTTTAATATATTTTTCTGTTACTATCACTTATTAAAATCATATATTCAAAAACTAAGATTTGTAATAACGTAGTAACAATCTTTTATCAATTTGATTCAAACTTCTTTAATTATATCTTTTAGATAGCCGAACAAACTTCTCTAGACATTTTTTATCATATAAAAATACTATAACCAATGAAAGTTCTAACCTAGAGAAATCAAATAATAATAATTCTAGCTTGGAAGAGTTGTATGATGATTACTTAGATGAGTTTAATAATGATAATATAACTCATGAAAATTATAAAAGTTTAACAAAAGCATCATTATCTTCTATAGCTACTGTTTCTTTACAAATACTTGCAAAAAGAAAAAAGGCAATACTATTTATAGAAAAAGTAAATCAAACAAAAGCTGAGTATAGAGATATATGGAAAAAGATAAAATCACAAAGATTAAACACTGTGATATTGATATAGATAATGGTAATGGTATTTTAAAAAATATACAACTATATTCAAACCTAGTACTGCAGTTAGCTATATTGCTTTACATCTATGTATAGTATACAAAATTTATAAA